TGCTGGGCCCTGTGGTCCTGGGGGGGGCGGGGTGCAGGGGCAGGGTGGGGAGGGGGTACCCACACCTGCCACAGTTCTGGACCTGGCAGAGATTCCCTGGAGTGGGGGAAATGGACTTTGGCCACAGAATTGGTTCTGTTGTTTTGGTTTGGGGATACACTGGCAGTGTTTGGGTGCTCTGGGGATCATGTGGTGGAGGGCCTTGAACCCTGGACCTCTTGCATGCAAAATATGCACTCAGCCCATTGAGCATTCTCTCCATTCTCTCTTCTCTCTCTCTCTCTCTCTCTCTCTCTCTCTCTCTGTCTCTCATCACAGAATTTGACAGAACACTGTACTGTTTTTGGTTTTTGGTTTTGGGGCCACACCCAACAGTACTCAGGGCTTACTCCTGGCTCTGAGCTCAGGGCCACTTCCGGCAGGCTGGGGTCCACACGGGTTCCCAGGGATGAAGCCTTCTGGTCAGCCACGTGCAAGACAAATGCCCTACCCACTGTAATATCACTCTGGCCCTGACACTGTACTGTTTTGTGAGACTTTCCCTCTTAGTGAGCAAACAGCTCAGTGTTTGATGCTGGTCCTTCAGACGGGGGAGCCGGGGATCCCCACCTCCCACTCCATGAGCCAGCAGAAGAACAAAGGACACAGGAGAGAGGACAGAAGAGGGAGAACAGTTTCTTGCCTGTGGAGGGGACAAGAAACCCTCTGAGGAGCTCTTGAATGGGGATCCAGTAATCCTACAGTCCCCTTCTAAGGGATGGAAGGTTCCAGAACTGGCCCCTGGGGGCACTCTGTGAGGGAGCAAGCTGAGTGCACCCGACAGTGTGTGAGTGCAGAGAGCAGGCAGGCGGCATCCAGCATGCTGAGGAGTGCTGGAAACTCAGACCTCACTCAAGGTCTGAGGCCTCCCATCCGCGTCAGCCAGTGGGCTGCACTCCCGAGGACCCCACTGCCCTTTGGCACAGGGAGCCAGGATCCCCCTGTGACTCTTCTCAGGATGCTGCAAAGGGTCTACAGTGGGTGAAAAGCGGCGGTGGGCCCTACCTAGCCCGGATGCCAATCGGGTTTCTCTGAACTAGCATTCTAGGGCAGGGGACCAGGGCTCACAGCTCAGGATCGGGGCTTGGAGCCCCCCGCCCCACGCGCACACACACACACCACCCCCAACCCACATCGCCTGGTGCAGGCCAGCGCCTCCCAGTCTGTGGCGGTCAGTGGAGGAGCCGGGAGCTCCACGGACCTCACCGAGAGCGCGATGCAGGCGCGCGCGGCAGGGGGCTCCCCGGGCTTTACAGAACGGCCACCCCGGGGACGCGCTGGGTCGCAGGTACCGCCGGCACTCCCGGCGAGCCCGGGGCTTCGGCATCGCGGCGCGGCCCCCGGGATGGAGGAGGAAGGGGCCGGGCGCCGGGCGGCACGCGGGGCGCGGGGGGCGCGGCCGGGCCGGCGGGGGCGAGGGCGTCGGCCGCAGGCCGTGGGCGCGGGGGCCGTTGGGGGGCGCGCCGGGCCCCGCCCCCGCCGGCCGCGCCGGGTCGCGCGTGGGCGCGGCGGGCGCCGATTGGCTGGCGGGCGCGCGGGCGGGGCGCGGGCGGCGCGGAGGGGCCGGTCACCCCGCAGCCGGCCTCGGCCTCCGCCGCTCGTCGCCGCGCCCCGCCCGCGCGCCCGCCGCCGCACGTCCCCCGCCGGCGGCCACCATGAGCACAGGCCTGCGCTACAAGAGCAAGCTGGCGACCCCAGGTGAGCTCGGCGCCGCCCGCGCGCCCGCGCGCGCCTTTGTCCCCACCGCCCGCCCCTCACCGTGTCTCTCCGTCTCTCCCCGCCCGCCGGCCCGGACCCGCCCGCGCCCGCGCCCCGACCTCCGCCGCGACCCCGCCGCCACCCCGGCCCCGCAGAGGACAAGCAGGTAGGCGCGCGCCGCCGCCCCGGCCCGGGCTGTCACCCTTTGTGGCTCGGGCGCCGCCGCCGCCGGGCGCGACCCCGCCCCCCGCCGGCCGTCACCCGCCGGCTCGCGAAAATCGATGTCACGGGGCTGGGGGAGGGGGCTCGCGCGCCGCCGCGCCGGGGGCCGTGGGGGGACCGAGGGCGCCAGGCCACGGCGGGGCCAGGCCTCGACCCTGCCGGCGAGCCCGCGCGCCCCTCCCTAGGTGGGGAGGGGACGGGGCATGGGTATGGGCGGGCACCCCTGTCTCACTGGCCCGCGCCCTCGCCTCCCTCCCGGTGGACCGGTTCTGCGGGCCTCGTGCCGGGTCGGTCGGGACGGAGTGAGGCCACCGTCACGGCAGCCGCGAGCGTCCTGATGGCCCCCTGCCGCCACAGTCCCTGAGCAGCTCCACGGGGCGCTGGCACCCCCCATTGCTCCTCGCCTCCTAGGTCCTCTCCCCACACCAGTTTGAGTGGCGGGTCTGCGGCCAGGCCTCTGCCCTGCATCCAGCATCCCGGCTGCACCTGAGTCATCCCCATGCCAGCCGGCCCCAGCCTAGGGGCTTCCGCCAAGGGACCTGCCTAGCCTGACCTCCAGGCGGGGAGGACACCACCCAGAGGGGTGTGGGGGCACCAAGTAGGATGCGGGGTGGGCTCTTGGCAGCCTGCTAGGCGCTTCTCTGGCTGGAGCTCAGCCATGTTTGGGGGAGAAAGGAAGCCCTCTGCTCCCCGCTTCCCCCACAAACCCTGCAGGGCGCTGGCACCAGGTGGGTGCCGGGTGGAATGTGAGAGCCCTGGCCTGGGGTGTGACAGGCAGGCCAGGAGCAGCCTAGCAGATGGGTGGGAGCCTGGAGTCTGTCTGGCAGGGACGCGCCCCGCCCTGGGGAGGGCCCCACCCACTGCACCCCATCGCTAAAGGGACTCCCCGGGGATCCCTGGGTGAGAGCTGTGTCCCCACAGCAGCGGGTCAGACAATGCCTGGGTTCTGAGACACACGCGGAGTCTATTGTGTGAGAGAGAAGGGGGAGCGCCCCATGGCGGGTTGCCTTCTCCTGGCTTGTGGGCGCTCCCAGCACCAGGCCTGGCAGCAGCCTCCTCGCCATCCCTCCTGCTGGGGCGCTGCCCAGCCCTGCAGGCCCCCTGGAGCCCTCCTTGCCCCCCCCCACTCCCTCCTTGGCGAGGCGAGGGCATGATGCAGGCAGTTGGGGGTGGCACCAGCTCCCCGTGGAGGGAGCCCAAAGAGCCTGGGCGCATTGCTGTCACCGCCACTGGGCCAGCTGCACCCCAGCGCGTGCACGTTTGGGGGGGGGGGTGCACCCACCAGTGCCTCTGGGCCGTGCTGGGGGCTCTGCAGTCTGGCGGCTGCTCCCAGATCTGACTGGGATTCTAAGAATGGAAATGCCTCGAGAGTCTCAGACACCAGGAGGAGGTGGGCGCAGCTGTGTGTGGCGCACGGGAAGCCCAGAGGAGTATTTGTAGTGCCTTGGGGGCAGGAGAAAAGGGGGTGTCAGGGCCCCTTCCCTGTGGCGCTCCCCCAGGAAAGCCACAGGTCTGTCTGGGCGTGGTCGGTGGTGGGAAAAACAGTAGGTGCTGGCCCTCCTCGTGGGGACGGCCCACGAGCTGCCCGGCAGATGCCCTGGGTGGGAGCTGCCAGTCTGTGTGGGTGGATGCCAGGCTGAGGGCCGCGTCTGGGGAGTCAGTGGGCCTCAGCCCAGAGGCCCCTGCAGGTCAGAAGGCAGGGGCTGGCACGTATGAGGCTTTTCCAGCGAGGGCTGGGGACAGGCGGGGAGCACAGGGAGGCTGTGGCTCCCCCACCCCGCCCCCCACCGTCCACACTTTCCACTGGGATGAAAGGCTCTCCTGTTCCCAGCTGTGGGCCCACCCTCTGCCCCAGGTTGCCAGCTGCCTCCAACCCCACAGAAGCACCCCAGCCTGAACAGGGGACAGAGGCCCCTCAAGCTGGGAGGGTGGGACGGGGAGGGGGTAGCAGGGGGTCTCTGACTGTTCTGACTCACCAGACCTCAGCTCTTTCTCGTCCTCTGTCCCCACCCCCTTGTAGCTGGCATCTTCAGATGCTGGTGGGGGAAGACCTGGAGGGGGAAAACAGGAAGGCTGGAGTAGGAGACCCCGTGGTGTCTGGGGTGATTTTAGAAGGTGCCCAGTGGATCAACCAGGGTCAAAAGCCAGGGGAGGGGGATCCCCCAAGCCTCTCCCTCTGCTCCCAGGAGATTGGGGCGGCAGTGGAGGCATATGGGTGGACCCCCAGCTTGCAGAATTGAGTGCAATTCCTGAATTTGGGCTGGGTAGGCCCCAAGTCTCTAACGAGCCCCCCCCAACACACACACCCTTCCACTTGCAGGCTTGTAGGGGTAGGGCCAGTGGAAGGCCCCCTCCCCTAAGGCCTGGAGGTCTGCTCCCCAGGTTTCCTCTAGACTTGCCCTGTTTGTCGTTCCGGCCCCCCCCCCTCTGGTTAGGAAACAGACACACACAGACACACACAGACACACGCGTGAACACACACACAGAGGGGCCAGGCGCTCAGCAGGGGTTAGAGAAACAGCAGTGCCGGGAGAGGTAACTGGGCATTTGGGGCACATGGCGCCACCGCCAGGAGGTTTGGGGCAGAGTCGGCCAGGAGCGACGGGGCGCTGCGTGCGGGTTCCCGCGTGGGGACTGCGCCTGGGTCCCGGGGGCGTCCTCTGGCGCCCTCTGGCGGGCGGAAGCCGCGTCGCACCTCTCGGGAGCCGGCGCGCGGCGGCCACTCACGCCCGGGACCCCGGCGGGACGCGGAGGGGACTCGCGGGGGGCTTCCCTGCGTCACCCGGGCTGTCAGGCCCTGGTCCCACGGCCGCGGGTCCGAGGCCGCACCGCCCTGTTTGCCGCGTCCCGCCCCCGCGCGTAAACGGCCCGGCCCCCCGCAGCCGCTTTCCCCCGTGGCTCCGCCCGCGGCCCAATTTCCCGGCGACAGTTTCCCGGCGACGGGCGGGCGGGGCGGCTCTGCCACCCACCCGGGCCGCGTCCGCGCGCCGCCGCGTCCCGCTGCCCGCCGCGGATGCCGCCAGCCGGGGCGCTCCGCCCGCCGCGGGGGGCTCCGGGGGTCCTCTCGGCCGGGCGCAGTGTCGGGCCCGGGGCCGGGGACGCGGAGAGGGGGCGGCCCGGCGGTGGCCGCCCGTGGGCCCTTCGCCCCGTGCATGGCAGCCTCACCTGACCTGGCCTCCGTCCGGCCCGTGGCGGCGGGCAGGGCCCTGGGGGTCGGCGCCGCGATGGATTCGCTGGCAGCGCCCCGGGACCGCCTGGTGGAGCAACTGCTGTCCCCGCGGACCCAGGCCCAGAGGCGGCTCAAGGTGTGTGGGGGGAACCGGAATGTGGGTCACTGGTGTGCGTGTGCGTGTGGGCGCCTCCCGGGTCAGCCCCGGGCTCGGAGACTTGATGGGGGCCGACAGGGCCAGAGTCCACGGCGGGTGGACCCAAGACCCCCAGGCGGGGGAGGCCTGGTGCCGCGGACTATAAATAGACTGCTGCGGCAGCCAGCCACCTCCGCGGCTGGAAGGGGGCCAGGCCAGACGGGGCCTCCCACCCGCTGGTGCTCGCTCTGGGGAGGGCGAGTATTGAGGCAGGGGGCTTCGCTGCCTATGGAAGGCCTTGAAGGGGTCTTGGGGTGGGAGTGTCCTCTGCCCATCACCCAAGGAAGCACACACAATACCTGACATCTCACACACTATACCCTGTCAGGCGGGGACTGGGGAAACAGCCCATCCCTGGGACGCCTCCTGAATCTGGTTGGTGACAGGACCGGGGGCCAGCCTCCTGGAAGCCCTGCCCCGCTCTGACCCACCCCACCCCTGTCCGCAGGACATTGACAAGCAGTACGTGGGCTTCGCCACACTGCCCAACCAGGTGCACCGGAAGTCTGTGAAGAAGGGCTTTGATTTCACGCTCATGGTAGCGGGTGAGTTAGCCAGGCTCCCAGGAAGCGGGGGCAGGCGAGGCTGTCCTGGGGGCACCTCATCTGACCTCTTCCCTCTGTCCCTGAGCAGGTGAGTCGGGCCTGGGGAAGTCCACTCTGGTCCACAGCCTCTTTCTGACAGACTTGTACAAGGACCGGAAATTGCTCAGCGCGGAGGGTGAGTGGGCCCTTGTCAGCCCGCCCTGCTGTGAGGGCTCTCAGAGGGCCCCGCCCTGCTCCCCCACAGCTGGGGCCCCTGTCCCAAATCCAAAAGGCACGACCCGGACCTCTACCGCCCAGGATGGGAGGTAAAGGTCGGAGAAGCCCCTCCAAACAGCCCCCTTTGGGGCCAGTAGTGCTGCAGGTGGGGTGTGTGCCTGGCACGCGGCCAACCCAAGTTCTGTCCCCGGCATCCAATATGGTCCCCCGAGCACTGCCAGGAGTAACCCCTGAGCACCGCCAAGTGTGGCCACAAAACAAAACCAAAACATACCCTCACCCCCACCCAGAGCGCATCAACCAGACGGTAGAAATTCTGAAGCACACGGTGGACATTGAGGAGAAGGGGGTCAAGCTGAAGCTGACCATTGTGGACACTCCAGGCTTCGGGGACGCCGTCAATAACTCTGAGTGGTGAGGAGGGCTTGGGGAGGAGCGGCGGCCCCCAGCCCTGGGCCAACCTCACATGCCCTCTGCCCGCAGCTGGAAGCCCATCACCGACTATGTGGACCAGCAGTTCGAGCAATATTTCCGCGACGAGAGTGGACTCAACCGCAAGAATATCCAGGACAACCGAGTGCACTGCTGCCTGTACTTCATCTCCCCTTTCGGGCACGGGTGCGTCATGGGGCCCATGGGGGGTTCTTCCAGTCACCCCCCCCCCAGCAGGGCCTCTCCAGCCCCTCCCCGCCTCTCCCTCCACTCCCTCTACCCGCCGCTGCTCTCCTCTCTGCAGGCTGCGGCCCGTGGATGTGGGGTTCATGAAGGCTCTGCACGAGAAGGTCAATATCGTGCCCCTCATCGCCAAAGCTGACTGCCTGGTCCCGGGAGAAATCCGCAAGCTGAAGGAGCGGGTGAGCCTGGGGAGTGACTCGCCCAGCACCGTGTGCAGTGGTCTGGGGAGGCCAGCCCAGCCTCGCCTCGACACACCCAACACACACTCTGACCACACTTTCCTGCAGATCCGGGAGGAGATCGACAAGTTTGGGATCCACGTATACCAGTTCCCCGAATGTGACTCGGATGAGGATGAGGACTTCAAGCAGCAGGACCGGGAGCTGAAGGTGAGCCTGTCACTGGGGGCAGCAGGGGTGAGGGAGCTGGGGGGGCCAGCTCCAAACGGGGTTCCTTGGGACAGGGTCTTCTGTGCTGGCTCTGGAACCTCTTCATCTAGAGCTTGGGAGCTCGGGGAGGCAGCCTGTGTCCTTGCCTGGCTGGAGGCTGCCACCAGGGGCCAGAGGCCCAGTGGCTGCCCAACCACCACCCGGGGTCACGAACACAGAAACTGGCCCCAGGGTCCTGGGTAATCCATGCCCTAGCGCCCAGAATTCTGAGCTCCAGGGGGTAGGGATGGCAGCTGTGAATGTCCCAGATGCTGATGGCCAAGCCTAAGTCATGGGACAAGTGACCCTCAGGCCAGAGCTGAACTGGGCCTCTAGGCACAATAACCAGGGGGCATGGGCTGGGGAGGAGGTGCCGGATGGGCAGGCTCCTGGCATGGGGAGAAGCACCTGGGTGGGCACTGTCCTTCAAAGGGCTTAGGGCATGAGGTGCCCGAGCACTCCCTCTGCCAGCCTCAGAGAAGCCACAAGGGAGTGGGGTGGGGTGCTATGGGGACAGTGGAATCTCTTTGGGGAGAGGTCATTGATGTCTGATCCACCCAGTGCCCATACCCCTCTCCAAGCACCCATGCACACACACACACACACACACACGCCTCACTAACTGGCCATCACACACACACACACACACACACACACCTGCCATTACATATGCACACCCACCATTTTACATACACACACACATGCCCGCCTCACTAACTGGTCATTACACACATACACACACGCCCACCCGCCCCACTAACTGGGCCTAAGCCCTTGCACCTGCCCCTCCCAGGAGAGCGCGCCCTTCGCTGTGATCGGCAGCAACACGGTGGTGGAGGCCAAGGGCCAGCGGGTCCGAGGGCGCCTGTACCCCTGGGGCATCGTGGAGGGTGAGTTCAGGCGGGGGTTGGGGATTGGGGGGAAAGCCCCGCGCCAATGCCCCTGGCCCACCCAGCCCTGCCCGCCCCGCAGTGGAGAACCAGGCGCACTGCGACTTCGTGAAGCTGCGCAACATGCTGATCCGGACGCACATGCACGACCTCAAGGACGTGACCTGCGATGTGCACTATGAGAACTACCGGGCGCACTGCATCCAGCAGATGACCAGGTGCGCTGCCCCCGCCCGCCCCCACCACTGCCACTGCCCATAAGCGTGGGCGCCAGCGGCCAGGCTCCCAGGCAGGGGGCCGCGCCCTCAGAAGCTCCGCCTCCCTCATCTCCGCAGCAAACTGGCCCAGGACAGCCGCATGGACAGCCCCATCCCCATCCTGCCTCTGCCCACTCCCGACGCCGAGACCGAGAAGCTCATCAGGATGAAGGACGAGGAGGTGGGCACCATCCTGGGAGCAGGGGCGGGGCGGGGAACGGGGTGCAGCCTCTTCGCGTCTGGGTTTTCACTGTGTCCCTCCCCTCTCTCCCTCCCCCCACCCCAGCTAAGGCGCATGCAGGAGATGCTGCAGAAGATGAAGCAGCAAATGCAGGACCAGTGACCAGCCCCACTGCCCCACGGCCCCATGTGGCCGCAGACAGAACTGCCAGTCTCTGGGCTGGCCCTTCCCACCCCCCTGCACCCTAACCGGTCTGGCCTCCACCCTGGACTCATCTGGATCTCCAGTGGGCCTGGACATGTCCCCAACCCTGGAGTGGCCCAGACACGGACTGTTCCCCAAGCGACCCAGAGAGGCGGGGGGCATACTCCCCCGGCCAACCCTAATTTATTCTCAGTGCTGACCCCCTCCCATCATAGGTGTCTGCTTTCAGGGGGCGAGACAGCAGCCCCCCGGAAAGGCCCGCTCTGGTCTTGGGGGGAGCAGGAGCTAACATAGGGCTGAGACTTCTGAGATAAGCCCCTCCCCCCAGCCCAGAGCGCCTCAGCAGACTCCAGGCCTTTCTCAGGTGGGCAGATAAACCAAGGCAGAAGGGGGAAGCCGACCTGAGGCTCTCGGGGGCCCATCGCCCCACTGCCGCAGTGCGGACTCAGGAGCCCCCTGCCCCAGCTATGCTGGGAGCGCACGGAGCTGAGGCGGGCAGGGTCCTCCCGCACTTACCCCCGCACCGGCGAGCTCCACGGGCAGGTTGGTGGGCCCCTGGGCAGCAGGGGCCCTTAGGACCCTTCCGGACCTAAGGAGGCCCCCGAGCTGCCAGGAGGCCCAGGGGTTGCTTGTGCTAGGTCACCCGCGCCCCTGACCCGGGGTCTGTGGGTGGTGGGTGATCCCCCCACAACCCCCCAAACCGACACAGCCCTTCTCCGCTGGTGCTGCGGGGCCCTCCCACCCAGTAGCACCTTTGCCGGTTCCGGGGCCGCCCCCACGCCCCCCATCCTTCCACCCGCATGGCCCCGCCCCTTCAAAGGCCCCCCTCTCCGTTTTGTTCTCCCGTCGTGAATGCCACCTCCTGTCCTGGTGACAGGAGAACAATGTTGGTGAACATGGCGTTGGGTGTCCGAGTGCTCCGTGGGCGCGGGCGGGCGGAAACCCCGGGCGGCGGCGGGCCCCGGCGATAGCGCCCTTATCGGGCCCCCGGGTTATTTCTAGCCGGGAGGCCGCGCTGCGGTCTGCGGGGGGCGCGGCGGGGGTGGGCGGCCGTCGCCCGGGCCTGCAGCCCGCGCCGCGCGTCCAGAGCCAGCCGGGTCGCCGTCCTCTCGCCATGGGCTCGGGTGAGTCCCAGGGTGGGCCGGGTGGGCGCCGGGGGGCGGGCGGGGGGCGCGCGCGCGCTCGCTCGCCCGCTCACGGCGCTTCCCTTGCAGGGCCGCGCGGGGCGCTGGGCCTGCTGCCGCCGCTGTTGCTGCTGCTCGCGCCGCCCGGCCGCCCGGCCGCCGGCTGCCCGGCCCCCTGCCGCTGCGCGGGGACGCGCGTGGACTGCGGGCGCCTCGGGCTGACGCGGGCCTCGCTGCCGGCCGCCTTCCCGCCCGACACCACCGAGCTGGTCCTGGCGGGCAACAACCTGACGGCGCTGCCGCCGGGGCTGCTGGACGCGCTGCCCGCGCTGCGCGCCGCGCACCTGGGCGCCAACCCCTGGCGCTGCGACTGCCAGCTGGTGCCGCTGCGCGCCTGGCTGGCCGGCCGGCCCGAGCGCGCGCTCTACCGCGACCTGCGCTGCGCCGCGCCCCCCGCGCTGCGCGGCCGCCTGGTGCCCTACCTGGGCGAGGACGAGCTGCGCGCCGCCTGCGCGCCCGGCGCCCTCTGCTGGGGGGCGCTGGCGGCGCAGCTGGCGCTGCTGGGCCTCGGGCTGCTGCACGCGCTGCTGCTGCTGCTGCTGCTCTGCCGCCTGCGGCGGCTGCGCGCCCGCGCCCGCACCCGCCCGGCGCTCACCGCCCCGCTGCTGGCCGAGCCCGCGGGCGGCGGCGACTCCTGAGCGCGAGCGAGCCCGGCCGCGGAGCGGACCCCACCCGCCCGCCGCCCGGGCCCCAGAATTCTCCCCCGGACGTCGGCGGCGGCCACAGCATCCGGCTCCCGCGGGGCCGCCCGTCCTCCGGCCCGCGATGACCAGGATCTGCGGAGCGCCCCGCCACCCGCCCCTCGCCGTCCCCCCGACACGCGCCCCCACGCCTACCTTCGGCACCGAGCAGATCCCCTCCGTTGATCGGCTCTGCACCCCCTGACCTGGAAGCCCCTCCGCGCCCCTCCCCCCATAGAAAAGAAAAATTAAAAACAAGAAAAAAAAAGCCCTGCTGGGGACTGCTCAAGGAGACACCCAAAACAGGCCCGTGCAAACACTTGGACTCGTTCAGAGTTGGGGCGGAGGGAAGGACACCGGACCACACTGCAGGGCGATGGGTCATCGAGGAGAGGGGACATGGGGCAGTGAGCACTGTGGGGTGAGGACATGGGCTGAGGACTCGAGTGCAAAACGGAGACACTGTGGAGACCTCAAGGCCAGGAAGTGTGGCTTGAGGGGACTGGGGAATGAGGACCGTTGGAGAGGTAGACTGGGTTCGCAGGGGTTCGGAGTATGAGGGGTCCTGGGCAGGTAGAGCATGCCCGAGGGCTTGTCAGAGGACCTGGAGCAGCCAGGCCAGCCTGGTGGCCCCACAGCTGCCTGCAAGAGAAAGCCCATGGTGTGGCAGGGAGGGCCCAAGTCAGGTGGGCTGGGGACCTTTCTGGGACCTGAGGGGACAGGTGGGCCCCAGGGGTGCTATGGCCTGTGGTGAAGGTGGCCTCTGGGCACACCGCCTGTGAAATCATGTCCTTCACCTGCCCTCATGGCCAACGAACTGGCACCCTTCATGCCAGACCCATGAGGGCTCTCCAGCCCCGGTCTCGCCACTGGACAGCAGGAACTGGGCGGTGGTCCTCCACGTGAAGGGGCTGTTCTTCATTAGAGGTCACCCTTGGGCTTTAGCTGTGACCCCCCGACCTGGCTGGCCCTGCACTCTGTGGGCCCTGACCAGCAGCCCGAGGCTGGGGCCTGGCCACCTGCCACAGGAAGACCCCTGGCCCCCACTGACCGGGTCGGGGAGGCTGCCGCTGACACTGCCTTTGTCCTGGCCTTTGTCACACAAGACTGATGGCCCTCGCCGGGCTGATGCTATCTGGGGGCTGCCGCTCAGACGCGAGGCAGGGGCCACCCCCTCCTTTGTGGGCAGGTGTGGGGCATCCGGCTCATTGTGGGCTGCAGTCGACTGTCCATGTGTCCATCCGGCCTCGTCCCCACAGCTCGGAATGCAGCACCCGCGTGCAGAGGGACAGCCACCCCGCCCTCTCCAGGAGGGCCCAGCACCCCAAGCCCCAGGTAGGGCCACTGACAGTAGCCACTGTCAGAGCAGGGCACTCAGGTCACTCCCTAAACTCCGTCCCAGCATGATGCAAGGAGGCCCACGTACTTTTCAGAGGAAAGAAACAACACATAGAGGGGACCGGGTGGTGGCCCCGGAGCATGGCTGAGACCAAGTCCTGCAGGCGGGGGGCTTTCCCTCCTCACTGAGGCCTTTGGGGGACCTGGACAAAGTGGTGGGGGGGGGGGTCCTGGGTGACCGCAAGCTAAGAAGAGGCCACTGCTGGCTGTGGGACAAGGCGACGGTGAAGTCCAGGTCACTCGCCCACTGCCCGCAGGCTTGAGGACCCAGGCTAGCATCTGGCTGTGAAGGTGGGTATGAGGGTTGCCAGCTGGTGCCTCTGAGGGGTGCTGGGCTTCTCGGCGTAGGAAGCAGCCACCAGCGTGGTGGGGCTGAAGGAAGCACTTCCTGGTCGAGGGCACAGGGCACTCCCTGTGGCTCCTCTGTGCCCAGCCTCATGCCAGTTCTCAGTGATGGAGACGAGCTTCTGCCCAGAAACTGTGCCCAGGAGATGCCAGCCTGGCCCCACGTACTGCCCTCCTCCAGGTGGCGGGGAGCCCCTCCATCCTAACTCCTGACCTCAAGCTGACCCTCCACCCATTCACCCTGGGGCCTCAGCCTCCAAAGAGTGGGGAAGTGGATGGTCCCAGTTCAGCGCCCCTGAATGCCCCTCCAGGGTGAGGGGGCGTTACAGCCCTCGTCCTGCTCAGACCTGCCCTCCCCCTCCCCGTCATGGATAGCTTGCCTGCCCCAAAGCCTGTCCCCACCCTTTGTGGCCCCAGATGGGGGCTGTGTCCTTCCACATGGGAGCCAGGCAGGGTTCATTCACGATCCTGCCTGCCCCCAGTCTCCACCTACCCTGGCTGATTTAGGCTTCTTTGTCCTGCAGCCTACCAAACTGGCAGGCTACCAAATGTAACCTGCCCACACGGCAGAGTCTGGCAAACTCCCCGTGGCGTACCCAATATGACAAATACCAGTAACAATGATGGGTCTCATTCTCCTAAAGAGCCTTGAATATAGCTTTTCAGGGCTAGGATGAAAGAGACGTTACTGGGGCCTGCTCGAGGCAATCGACGAATAACAGGATGGTCGTGATTCGTCCTGCAGCCCAGGGGCCGTTCTGACCACACTACTATCTCTTCAGCCCCCCTGGGCTTCCAGCACCAAGGCCACCCCATGGCTGAGGGTTCCTGGGGGGAGGGCAGGGGTCCTCACCGTTCAAGACCCACTCAAATATCCCCTCAACAAAGGTTCTTGACCGTGCCCTGCTGGAGGCCACTGCCTGAGTGCCCCCGAGGCAAGCGGGGCTCAAATCTCAGGTTGGCAGAGGATGACAGAGAAAACGGTTTGGTGATCGAGTGAGCCCAGCGGGTGAAAAGTCCTGCCGGGAGCGTGGGTGTCCCCCAGCTGAGCGGCTAGGTGCCAGGGCCAGGGTTCCCCATCTCCCCCAGCGCGCAGAGACCCCGGGAGGGCACCAGAGGGCGCTCGCGGCCCGCGGGAAACGCCTGGATGGGCGCGGGAGGCAGAGGTGGGCGCCGGGGTGCAGAGGACCAGGACCCACGGAAACTGGAGGCCCCGGAGAGTGCGGGTTTGCAGGCGACCTGAGGGGTGGAGCAGGTCGCAGCCCTCCATGCCCACGGAGTGGAGGATCCGCGGACCTCCCTGCTCACTGACCACCTAGATAAGGACCTCGGTCAGGCGTGCCGCGCCTGCGGAAAGCTTATTGAGCTCCTGCTGTGTGCAGGCGGGAAGGGACAGCGAGGCCAGGGTCGCAGGGAGCAAGGTGGGAGCGCGCCCCTGGGTAGTGGAAAGGGCCCCCTGCAGCCCCGCCCGACCAACCAGGGGAAGTGGGTTGAGGGGTGTTCTCCGTGGGCCCCCTCCAGCCCGCAGAGGGGCTGCGCCTCTGGGCCCTCTGACCTTCTGCGAGGTGGAGACTTGAGTGGGGCCTATGGGCCAGGCCCTGGGAAGGCCTGGGGCGAGGGGGGCCGCGCTGGAGGGGGTGGGCACACCCGCTGCCCAGACAGAGGAACAACATTGGGGTGGTGGCGGGGCCCTGGGGGCCCATAGCTCACCGCAGCGTCTGCGCCCACCCCCTGCGTTTCCGATGGAAGACAGGCAGAGGGTGATAAATCACCACACCCCCACCCACCCCGAGGCATGGGAAGGGGGGCTGCTCCACAGTGAGTCCCAGACAGGCCTGAGAGGGACCTTGGTGACTGGGCTGAAGGGCTGAGCCCCACAAGTTCCCTCAGCTCGGGGTGTCTCCCCCCCCAGGCTCCTGCACCAGCCCCATCTGGAAACCAGCTGAGAGTCACCCCACTCTAGGCGACCCCCAACAGGGAGGGGAGATTGGAGGGAGCAGGACCTCCACAGACACAACTGGGGGCCCCTTGGAGAGCCATAAATCAGCAGGGGGGTCGCCCTCACTCTCCCTCAGGCCGAGGGGCCTTATGGGGGGCCCACTGGTCCTGGTGACTGGGCTCGGCCCTAGAGGTGCCCGTTCCTCCTTCAGCAACCACTGGGGAGTGCCCCGACCCCACCTCTCTCCCCAGCAGAAAGGGTCCAAGCTATCCACAGCTTGCTGTCTACACTGGACGCACCCACCCCTGGCCTGAATCTTCTGTGCCGGCCGGAGAGGTGTGGCCTCCTGTGCTCTGCCGCAAGGGCACACCCCTGAGAAGCCTCGGGTGTCCCCTCTGCTTCCAGAGAGAGGGTCTCTCCCCCATCCCTCCTTCCTGTCACTACCCTCCCCCACCAGGGTGCTGAGGGTCCCCACCCAGACAAAGGGAGCTGAGTGATGGGTCAGGTGGGGCTGCCACAGGTGAGACTTCCTGGAGGGGGGGTGCTCCCAGGCCCTTTAGAGTGTGCTCAGCCAGAACCCTGAGGCCTTGCCTCCCGCTGTCGGCATCTCGGAGATCTGGACCCTGGGTACCTCGTAGGCCCCCTTCAAGACTCCTGCGTAGGGAGGGAGGCCCAGCTTGATGAAGGCGGAGCTGCCCCTGGTGTCCAGGGGATACCCTTGGCCTCTATTCCAGACCCCGCATCCCCAGAGGCCTGAGGGTGACCCCAGAGCTGGGGGTAGGATGGGATCCTCATTAGTTTGCTCAGTGAATCTCTCTGACGTGGGGATACAGACCCCCCGGGATGTCAGGGTCCCTCTGGCAGTGGCTGCTCTTGCCCAGGCATGTAGACAGGTCTGACTTGCCCTCCCCTGGGGCGCGGGGGGTGGGGTCACAGCAGGGAGGGACTCTGAGGGGTGCCTGTGGGGGACAGAAGCTGCCTGCAGCTGAGTGGAGCGTCTTCTCTTCTGGGGGCGCTGGTGGGGGGGTGCTTGTCCTGGGCTTTGCTGACTGAAGTCAGATGAGCAGATGGAGGAGGGGGCATCTGTCTACAGGTGGGGGCGCCCTGTGTACCCACAGAAGGGGCCAGTTGTGCAGACTCTCCCTTCCTGTGGGGGGGGGGGGCGGAGGAAAGGGCAGAGCGGGAGACTCAGCAAGGTCACCGCAGTGCCCCGTCCTCTGGACAGGACACCCTCAGCCTTCTCTAAGGGAAAGGAGCTTGTTTGCGAGTCCTGGGGCTCTCCACAC